CTTTTGACAAAGTTTGGCATGCTGGTCTTCTCCATAAGCTTGCTTCATATGGTGTTTCTGGGAAAGTTTTTGAGATTATCAAATCATTTCTTTCTAACCGGTTTATTAAAGTCATCCTTGAAGGCCAACACTCTTCTTTATTTCCAGTAACTTCTGGGGTTCCCCAAGGTTCCATCCTGGGCCCTGTTTTGTTTCTTATCTACATAAACGATCTTCCTGACAACCTTTCATCTAAAGTAGCTCTTTTTGCTGACGACTCAACTTTATACTCCTGTCTTGACAAAAAGTCCTTTCTTTTCAATCGCCTAGAGCAAGCAGCTGATCTTGAATCCGATCTCACTTCAGTAATAGATTGGGGTTCACAGTGGCTTGTGAATTTCAACTCTAAAAAAACCCAGTTGCTTACTGCAAACAACTACCGTAATATGGTCAACATTCCTATATTAATGAATGGCAATCCTCTTACTGAGTCGTCCTCTTTACATCATCTTGGATTATCGCTTACTACTGACTTTTCATGGAAACCATATATACAATCGATTGCTAAATTAGCTTCTGCTAAGGTTGCTTCTCTTTATCGTGCTCGCCATTTCCTTACTTCTGATTCCATTCTCTACCTCTACAAATCTCTTATTCGTCCCTGTATGGAATACTGTTGTCATATTTGGGCTGGTTGTTCTTCTAACGATTCACTTTCTCTTCTTGACAAGGTCCAAAAACGCATTGTAAATGTTGCTGGACCTGGACTATCTGCTAAGCTTGAACCTCTTTCCCATCGTCGTAAAGTTGCATCTCTTTCTCTTTTCTACAAATACTATCATGGTCACTGCTCAAAGGAGTTATCATCTCTAGTTCCATCAACTAAAATTAATTTTCGTTTTACTCGTCATTCAGCTAAGTCTCATTCATTTACTGTATCTGTCCCTGCATGTTCTAAAAACATTTATTCATCTAGTTTTTTCCCCCTTAATCCTTTGAAACTCTCTCCCATCTTCATGTTTTCTTGACTCATACAACCTTCAACTTTTCAAGTCTTCTGTCAACCGTTTCCTTGCTCTATAACTCTGTTCTTTTTTTTCCTAGTAACTCCCAACTTGATAGTGGTTGCTTGCAGCCTTGGAGTGAATGCAAATAATTAAAAAAAAAAAAATAATAATAATATTACTTGATATAAAAATAAAAAAGCATTCTTGGTATACTCAACACTTAATCTTAATTCAGATTCAAAAAGATGGAATGGAAGCCAGTTACAGTTCAGAAAATATACTCTTTTATGGCTATTTTGATCTGTTCTGGTGTAAATAACTCTAATACTGACCACATTAGTGAAATGTGGCATTTTTTCAACAATGCACTCTGAAAATGCTGTAAATGAAGATTTAAATAAAGAAGTAACGCATTACTACTTATTATAACAAATATAAAACAGGGATTGATGACATGGACCAAATAATAAGAAGATACTTTACACAATGTCTTTAAGATGGCCACTGGAAATATTTTTTAACATTTTAGGCATTAGTACAATTGATTCATATTTGATTTATTATGAAAATAATAAGATTATTAAAAAAAAAAACAATTAAAAGAGGTTGTTTATATGCTAATTAAGTGAAGAGCATGCTAAACCAATGATAAACATTCAGTATCAAAACTTGCTGGTAAGAAGGCATTACAATACTAAGATTGCTATGAAAGTGTGATCAGACATTAAAGTGTTTTAGTGGATCCAATTTTAGTTCCATCAGTTGAAAGAGATTCACGTGAAAGAAAAAATAATATTGGTTTATTGCTATTTATTATCAACAGCCAACATTGAAGAGGAAAAAAAAAAACAAGAAAGAGTTGCAATAAACCTATGTGTGATGAACATTCATTTGGTTTTGTTAAGTGTGTTGAACGTAATATATGAGGGGTTTTTTGTTAACTTTTTGGATAAACTTTATATTTTATTTAGATAAATGTAGCAAATTGATAACTGAATTTATAAGTTTATCCAATCTAGAGATTTCTTATTGCGAGTACCAGGGTACCTGGTTGCGTCCACAAAGCATGTTCACTACAAACTTCATTATTCAAAGAAATTTTTTTGTTTCTGGTATTTTTTATACAAAACTATGTTATACTTTAGGCATATAATGCATATAAAATATTATCTACAAACTTATTTACATTGGAAAACGTGCTGTGGTAGACACCCAGGTTGATTCCATCTGATTGTGCACACAAGAGTTAAAGGGTACTATTTTATCAATCTAGAACTAAATGCTTCTAAAGAGTTTTTTAAGTTATAAAAAGGGCATCTTATAATTTTTTTCTATATAAAAAACAATTGCGTATTCTACTTCTTAACTGCACTTGTTAACAGTGAGTAAATAGGTTTTTTAATACCTTTATTTTCCATTCAGGTTGGACTGGCAAAAAAAAGAAAAATCTAAGTTTAAAATAGGAAGGAAGGACCTGAGCTATTATTGATTTACTACAATATCAGCAAATTAAAAAATTGCAAATTAAAAACATTTAAACATAGTAACAGAAGACAATAAAAATACCAGAAGGCAAAAATATTATCCTTATTAGGGGAAAGCAACATAATAAAACATATTAGGAAAAGACAAAAAAATTATCCTAATTATAGAAAGGCAACATAATTAAATATATAAACAAAAGAATTATCCTTTTAATAGGAAGGCAACAGAATTAAACATATTAACAGAAGGCAAAAGAATTATCCTTATTAAGGAAAGGCAACATAATTAAATATATGAACAGAAGGCAAAAGAATTATCTTTATTAAGGGAAGGCAACATAATAAAACATATTAAGAGAAGGCAAAAGAATTATCCTTATTAAGGGAAGGCAACATAATTAAACATATGAACAGAAGGCAAAAGAATTATCCTTATTAAGGAAAGGCAACATATTTAAACATATGAACAGAAGGCAAAAGAATTATACTTATTAAGGGAAAGCAACATAATTAAACATATTAACAGATAAGAAGTGAGTAGAAACAAAAAACTTTATGAAATTTCTGAGTACAAAACTCTCTTAAATATGTTTTCCTTTATTACCATAACCTTAAATCACTTTTGGTCACATTACTTTATTATAAGGCCACTTATAATAAAGTAATGTTCTTATTGTCAAAAAATATATTTTAGATTTGAGTACAAGTGCTGATCCGATGTGGATTATAGAGCAACTGAATAATCATGTGCATGTGTGTTCAGAGTGTTCATTATATTTTAAATGCCATAACTTAATGCAGCCTAGACAGTGATTGCATACAGGTGACCAACAGAGCCGCACCAGTAAGGTAGACATGAAAGTGAAGATACCAAGAACAGATTGTAAAGCTGTTAAGATAGATACCTAATCTTTTGAACTTTAGTAAAATGAAAAATATTAGTGTGTGAAGCAAATAAACACCGAAAATAACACACAAGTAAAAGGGGAGAGGGAATATCTTAGCCTCTATATAATTTAAAAAAAATAAGAACTGTTATCTTTTTATAAAATTGATATTAGAACAGATTATATTCATTTATTTTGACTTCATTTATTATATTTTATTATTATTAATATATTAATTGATTGATAAAATAAAATTGGGTAGTTATAGCTGTTATATTTTATAAAAAAAAAATTTTTAATAACTGTAAAAAATTATTAGGTTTAGAAACCATTAACTGTCTTTATCATAAAAGGTCATTATGTCATATGTCTTTGTTTTTATGTCATTAAATGTCATTAAATGTCTTTGTCATTAAATGTCTTTGTTTCATTAAAAAATACTTTTTCTCTGTTTCTACATAATGTTTTTTGCAACTGCAATTCTGATGTAGTGGAAAACGGTCTGTAAAAATCTGGTTCAATAGAGTGATTATCAAGAAAACATATTTAATGTATGATTACCTGGATATGGCAGAGGTATATATAAAAGTTCAAAATATTCAATACTGTTTATATGAGTTATTCAAAACTTTTGATAAAAAAAGTCTTAAATCAAAGTATAACTTGAGTTATGCATTTATTTAACACCAAACATTATAAGATGATAAAAATAAATCAGAAGTAATTTAAGATTACCATCTATTGACAGTTTTTCAATTATTTATAAGTTGCTAAAATTTATTTGTGATATATTTGTGATATTACTATATATATAAATTACAACATACTTAAAGAGTTCACACCTATTTAATTAATTTTTATCTTTTTCGTTTTTTCGTATTTGCTAACTGAATCCCTATATCAATCCCTAACTTAACTTCAACCAATCCTTAAATCAATTCCTAAAATAGTCCCTAACTTAACTTCAACCAATCCCTAAATCAATCCCTAAAATAATCCCAAACTTAAGTTCAACCAATAACCATCACCAACGCAAGATCAATGTGGCCACCACTATAATAAATAATTATTTGATTTTAATAACATACTTTTTATTGTTAATACAACCCTCTCAAAGCTAAAGCTCCAAAGAATAAACTCAAAAAACTCAAACAATGGCCTCTACACAAGGTGAGCAAGGTATTACCAACAACATATGTCTTTCTTCAAATTATTAGTATTAATCAAGATTTTTAAAACAAATAATTATTTTATGTTTATAAGAAAAATCAAAATAATGTAACGCTAGATATATGATTAAAAGAAACTTTTTTTATTTAAATTGATTTAAAGTAACCAATGATATTGTATTCAACTATTTGCAACAATGATAAAACTGGTAATACAAGCCGACATTTAAAAATGTATATATAATAAAAAAAGAAATACATTTAATGAAACTAAGCTAACATAGAAATAGATACATAGTGGAAAAAGTTAAACTTGCATGTTTTTAAAATTTATAGAAACTACAAAAATAAAAAGTTTTAATTTATTTAAAATAATAAATTTATTGTTTAGTTTTCTTCTAATTCAATTGTAAAAAATGATTTTGGAAATCAGTAAATGTTGAGTTTTTTAAATAAAGTAAACATTACAATTACCTTTCTTGATTGAACATTTCGGAGCACCTTCTGGTAAATGTGAAGTTTCTAAAGGATATAATAGAGTAATTACCTTAGAAAAACTTTTGCAAAAAAAAAAAAAATAATAATAAAAATAAAAGATAAAACAGAGACAGTTAGGGGTACCAGACAGAGGCAGTTGAAAATAGAGATATGAGTTGTTTTTTGGAATTTTTTTAACTACTTTAACACCTTTAACTTTAACATTTAAATTCTTAATTTAACATTTAAATAAATATCACCTAAAAAGTGTGTTTTTAAATGATATTTATTAAAAGGCTTTGCATTTTCCTATTTACCATACCATTTATCTGTCTTGTTTTACAAGTTCTTCAAATGTTTATCTAATAATTCTAATAATTGTTCTTCAATGACTTACTTATAATAAGCTAATACAAAACTGAAAAACTTATTTAAAAAAAACATTTTCCTAATAAAATACAGAGACATCATAAGTAAAGGAGATTTTTCTTTTTTTTTTTATATATATAGATATATTTTTTGAGTTTAAAAAATTTTTTCCTTAATTTTCAATTTTTCAATTTCTATTTTCAAAAACTTTTTTCCTTAACACTAAAAACAAATGTTTCTACAGAATGAATGAAAACTAATTTTTGTATTTTGTAGAGTGAATGTAAACTTAAGTTTTTTAATTTATAAATGAAATCACACTGCATTGTAAAATTTATAAGTATTGTATAAGTTTTAAAGTTTTTTTTTTAAATTTTGCTACTATATTTTATGCTTTTTGTTTTTTAATTTTATTTCGGCAATTGCAAATAAACTAAATTTGTCAACAATTAATTTCAAAAAGTGAAATTAGTATTTTCAATCATGTTATAAATAATTTTGCATACAAATAATTTTGTGTTGTAGTATTTTTATTTTTAAATTTTGTACCTTTATCGTAAGTTATTTGAAACATAAGAATATAAATGATGATGTTTTGTTGTTTTGAAAACATTAATGTACCAGTTTATTATAAATTATAGTAAAGTAAATATGAGTAATACAATTTATAGATTTTTTAATAATTGTATTATGAAATAATTTTAGAATATAGCCAAGGTATTGTAAACATTAAATAAGCAGATTTCTAATCAAAATAATCATGTTGTTTTATTAGAAAAATAATAATCATTAAACATCATCAAACTGGTGAAAAGAATTATGTTCATCTACTGAATTATCAAAAGTAGCAGCAAAAACTCTTCAGCTTCCTGCTACAAGTGCTGCTTGCGAAAGAAGTTTTAGCAGTTATACAAACATTTACAGTGCCAAAACAGATTAATGATAAGATTGAAGCAATTGAAAACTTGAAGCAATGGATATGTGTGCAACTCAACAACCAATCTTGTTTAAAGAACCAATAAATATTTCAGATAAATCTCACGAATGTTTCAGATGAAGAGTCACTTAAACAAAAATTTGAGTCTCTTGACCTAGAATCAGAGTTTTCTAGTAAAGATTTTTAAATAAAAAAAATTGTTTCTTATCAATTTTTGAGATCAAAATTTGAAAAGAACAATAAACTTGTTATTCACTTTACCACTGATAACTTTAAATCTGTTTACACTTTAATAAAAATAGAATAATTTTAAAATAATCTAACATAGAATCTAAAATACTCAAACAGAATTAAATAGAATTTTTTGTTCTTTTTAGATAAGTTTTAGATAAGTTAGAAACATCAAAAAATCATTTTAGATAAACTAGAAACATTAATAAAAAGTTAAAAGTAAACAAAAACACCAAAAAGGATCTGTAAAAGCCAAAATAAAAAAAACAACAACATTTTTTTGGGTTTAAAAACACGTTTTTTTCATCTCTTTCTATGGATACCATTTTGAATGAAAATAACCATTGATAACCAATTATTGTTTTCATGAGCAACTGACAAAATAAACAAAACTAATGATTGTAACAATATTAAAGCAATCAAACAAACGTTAAAATAATAATGACTAGAAATTTTTTTTTAATTAGTGGTGTTTTTGTTTTATTAAATGTTAAATTTCAGTATTTTCCACAACACATAAAAAGATCACCAATAATCTGTCGTTGAATCAGGCTTTCCCAGGAAAGGCGTGTGGTCGCACGCCTTGTTTGTCCACGCATAGAATAAATTTTTCAGAAAACGTGACTGCGGCATTATTTTGTAAGAAAGCGGAAATTATCCACAGAAAATGAAAAATAATATTAAAAAAATGAAACGAAGTCTAAACAAAGTATCAAATTGAAATTGGATGTAAGAAAAATATTTTGATAATAAAAAAAAATTAAAAAAAAAAAATTCTTGTAACAAAAAAAAAAAAAGTCTTGAACATTTTTTTCAAAATTTTTATACTGTTTTTGTTTTCTTTTATTAGGGTTGCTATTTTCAGCTACAAAATTTGATACAAGTCAAGGAAAAGACGACAATAAGTCATAAAGTTTTCACGAAAATAAAAAGACTTGATACGTAATTTATTCACGAACTTTATCAGACAATGTATTAAAAAACTGATTCATTATTTACGCTAGACAAATTTGGTTAAACTTTTTCATTTAATTTAGTTTTTACGAAGGTTTACGCAAAGGCAATGACTTTATTCCCCAATACTTAGACAAGAAAATAAATTGCTGTTTTAATTATTAAATATATTATTTGAGATTTTAAACATAAAAAAAATTTTAATGTGAAAAAAGTTCTTTCTTGACTTATTCAAAACTGATTATACAGGCGAGCATTGACTCAATGCTCGCCTTTTATTACGTTGAAATTATTCAATTGCATAATTTTGTAATTACGAAAGAAGTTGAAAAAATATTTGCATTGCTTCTGTTGTCATTGTTACGAAAACAGTTCCTTTGAGACATTATTATATATTAACACTCGTTCACAATGTCAAATAATGATTGCAAAATAAGCAACTCAATCGTTTGACAATATAATTTTCTTTCATTTAAAAAAAAAAACAACATATTTTACTAATAAATAGCAATCGTTTTCGTGTTTTTTGCGTATCAATACATTCAAACATTAAAATCAATACATTTAAACATTTAAATGTATTTACGAAACATTTAAAAATTGTTTATAGTTCTAGCGTGAATTTTAAAGTATTACTGACTGATAAAAGTCATAAACAAATTTTACATTAAAAAGTCCTTTTATTTTCTTTAAACATTAATCTTTTTCTTTTTGATTTGATTATTCTTATTGATTTGATTTTTCATAGCTTAAATAACTACCACCCTAAAAAAATAAAAATATAAAGTATAGGTAAATTTTTTTTTTAATAATATACATTAATTTTTTAATTTTAAAGCACAAACACATTGCTGTTATTTACTTTAAGATTGCTTGCATTTTTGCGGTATTTTCATTTAGCTTTGTTTTGGCGCGAATTCTTGAAACGCATAATAAAACGTGGTCAGTTAGTCAGAAAAATTTATTCTATGCGTGGACAAACAAGGTGTGCGACCGCACGCCTTTCCTGGGAAAGCCTGTTGAATCATCTAAAAAATTATTTTTAAGGTAATTTTTAGGCCAAAAAAATGCACTTAATTCTGATTGTTAATGTTAAATAAAATATTTGAATTACCTATCTTTGTAAATTTTGTAGAACTTTCTGATGAATTTGAAGTTTCTAAATGATATATTAAAAAATTGTTGTATATTTATTTAAAAGTACACAAAAAAAAAAAAAAAAAAAAAAAAAATTTGATATATAGTATTATTAGCATTTAATTAAATTAAATGTTTAATGTAAATAAAAATTTAATTAAAATGAATAAAAATTTAATAATTAATTATTTTAATGTAATAAAAGTCACAATATCAAAGAAAGCTGAAATATATAAAACTACAATTTCTATTGTACTTTTTAAGGAAACAAAACTGTAACTCAACTCAAGAAAAACATACAATATAAAAATACTCTTCCCCTGGGCTCATGGTTGAGTAATATATACTATAATATATATATGGTATAATATGTATAATAATGGTTTGTTTTGCAGGTGATTCCATTTCAAACTTTATTTATTCTTTGTTACATTACAAATGCTTAGTATTTTTTTGTTTACAAAATATTTATATTGATTAGAATTAAATGAGAGTAAATTGGAGATTGCTGGTTTTATTTTTATGAAAACAAAAGTAAAAACATATACAAGTTTCTGAGCGTGATTTTTGGACATGGCTGTGTTTAAAAGGCTGATGCAGTTTATAGCAGCATTGACCAAAAATTAAAAAAAACTGAGCTATACAGTCTTTTGGGTCTGATCAGAATACTAAAGTCTTTTTAAATATTCAAACTGAAGCTAAAAGCTATAACTTTACCAAAATGCCCTTTGCGCAAAAAGCAATTAAAATACTATTCCAATCACCCTTTTATTGTTTCATTTAAAACAAAACATGAAGATGGTTTCACCTTAGTTTTTGTATGTGCCTAATCATTAAGAAAAAAGCAATCCACAGCCTTTCCCATAACTGCACCAAAACTGTTAATTCAGACCAAAAAAAGCTACTTACATTCAAAAGAAAAGAATGAAGATATTAAAAAAATGATCCCCTAAATGCCTGAGATTGATAGAAATTATATGGTAACTCTTTGTGTTTAGCAATCCATGTGCATGTACATTTACTTTATAGTACCATGTACTTTTCTTAATTATTTTAATGTCTAAATATAATTTTAAAAAATATAATAAAAAAATTATTTTACTTAAACACAACCAAATAATGTCTGAAACAAGGGCAAATCCAGGTCATTTTCTTAGGCGGGAGTGCGTTATATGACTAAAAAAAAGGATTTTTTTTAGCTAAAACCAATTTTTCATTTGATTATTTTTCAAACTGAGTTCAATAATTCTTTCCGCCAAAGAAAAAAAGATTTTTTTTTTTAAATCATGAGTGCTGAAGGTTATTGTGAACAGGCTCAGCATCTAAGTCATATTGAACAAAAAGAAGATAAACGCGAAGAGCACAGAAAATGCTTGTAAATTAGTTTACTAACAAAGATAAAATGTTTATATAAATAATTATTTTTTGCCAAAAATCAAATGTTGCAAAATAATTATATATATATATATATATATATATATATATATATATATATATATATATATATATATATATATATATATATATATATATATATATATATATATATACACATATGTATATATATATATTTTTTAATCTCTATTAATAATATTTTGAAGTTTGATAATTCTTAAAGGAACTACCAAGTCCCGAGACATGTTGTTTCATATTAAAGAGAATGTTAAAAAAAAACATCTGAGCGTTTTTTTTTAACATTCTCTTTAATATGAACACAATAATTTTTGATTAAAACTAATTAATAAATGCATACCATGAAAAACAAATCTTGTTGTTTTAGTTGAAGCTCGTCTTCTTTGTTTTCACTAGTATTTTGAGTATGTAAAATAAACACGATTTTCTAGGCGCATTATACAGACTTGATAATTTATTCAAGTGTGTTTAATTCATAGGATTTAAGTGCATGATGTCATAGATTTTTTATTGTTTGTTTAAAACATCTATTGTTATTTTTTACATACAATTTCCAAATCATATTCATTTTTATTATATTTTAAAGTTCTAAAATGTGTTTGTAAAACAAAATTAAAAACAAAATAAAATTAAAAACAAAATATAAAATTAAAAACAAAAATAAAATTAAAAACAAAAATAAAATTAAAAACAAAAATAAAATAAAAAACAAAATAGTATTTTATTTGCCCAACTTTTTTAAAATAATCGTCTAGACCACGTGTATTTTGATTTCTTTTGTTATAAGTTTTTCTTTCAAAATATTAAATAAAAAAAGTTTTAACCTAAATAATAATGCACTTTTATTAATTTACTTTGTAAATATTAAAAAAAAAATTATTAACGCATTTTTTCTCTGATTTTTAAAATGGCATTTTTTGGTATTGAGGTGATCTTATTTCATTATTTATATTTCTATTATAACATCTAATATATATTATGGCGGGGGCTTAAAAATTAAAAAATTGATATGTATTAATTTTTATTTTACAGACATACATGGAAACATAATTAACTTGAATGTTCTTAAAACATCTTGCGGAAGAATAAAAAGAATATTCGCGAACACTAAAAACCCGCCAAATTTGCGAACAAACTAATTCTTTTGGTTAAAAAAACACGCTGACTAAGCGAAATAAAGTTCTAGCGTATTCTGTTGAAATGTTTTAGAAATTGTATTATTTACGATTTGATGCGTTTTGAGATAACTAGCATAAATTATTTTAAGAATATATTATCAAATGAACTATTACTTTAATATTATGGCTCATTCTCGGAGCCACATCTGTGAAGCCGTAAAACTTTTAAACTATTATCAGTTGTGTGCAAAAATAAATGTTTTATAATATATATTTTTTAAATTGTCAAAATTTTGAAAGTTAATTACAAATTATATATTTTATTAGTATATTTTTAATTTTTATATCTTTTTTAAGTGCTTGGTTTAATTAATTGTTTGTTAGATTTGTAAAAAACTAACGAACAATTAATAAAATAAATTTTTAATAAAATAAGTAACTATAGTTAGCTATTTGAGTAAAATTTAATAGTAAAATTGTTAAAGAATTTCTAGAATGTTTCCAATGACATCATGCTCTAAAACTCCTATGAATTAAACGCGCTTGAATAAATTATCAAATCTGTATAATGCACTTGGAAAATCGCATTTATTTTACATGCTCAAAATACCACAGAAAACGGAGAAGACGAGCTTCGACTAAAACAACAAGATTTTTTTTTCTTGGTATACATTTATTAATTAGTTTTAATCAAAAAAAATTTGCTTAGACGTTTTTTTTTAACATTCTCTTTAATATGAACACAACATGTCTCGGGACTTGGTAGTCCCTTTAAGAAGGGAGGGGGAGGGGGAGGGATACGCCCATCTTTTGTATCCACCTTTGGTAAAAAATACATTTATAACATCCAGCAAACAATATATTTGTGCAAGTTTGGACAAATTATAATTAAAAACACTCAAAGAAATTGTCATTGAACACAATTTTTGGATTATGCAAGGTTTGTCAGTAATTTGTTCTCTCAAAATTAATTTTTAAACACAAAATACTCAATAATTTTCTGAAAATGGTTTATAAAAGTATTATATATTGATCTTAACAATTTAATAAAAACAAAATGTTTTGCAAAGTTCATTTTGAAATTTTTTTGGGCTTTTGAAAATTCAATTCAATGCATTTTTTTCATCCGTAGTTTAGTGACATAGAACCAGATAATACTGAGGGGATGATATATAGAACATTGAAGAAAAAGCTACAATCATATCTTTTATGCATAAACATTTTTTGTATGAGACATCATAAAACTTATAAAAACTTTACATTATTTTAAATCTTCAAATAAAAAGCTTTAACCTTATAGTATTTTAGCTACAAGATTTTTTTTCTTTAAGATTTTATTTTCAAGTTTCTCTCCTGAAAATAATATTGTAAATAGAAAATCCTTCATTAAACATAAAGGTTGAATAAAGTTTATTATTTGTATATTTTAAAAAATACAAACAATATACATTTAAAAAAACTGTAATACGCAATAAAATACAAATTATATACATTTATTATTTGTATTTTTAAAAAAAATACAAATAATAAATGTATATAATTTTTTTTCATTATTAAGCAACAATTTTTCATTGAAAGTTTTTTTATAAAACTTTCAATGCAAAAAATTAGATTCAAAAAAGAAAACTCCTTTTTTTGTAATAAGGAGTTAGTTATTTATACAACCATAGTAAAAATGTTTGGAATCATATCTTTTTTTTGTACGGGGCATCAAAAAACTTACAAAAAGTGTTCAACCATTTTGAAATTGAATTTCCATAGAAAAACTTTATTTTTTAGTGTTTTAGGTATCATTTTTGAGTTCCTCTTCCTAATAAGTAGTTGGGTATAAATTTTCAACAGTATTGAGCAAGTATTTCATAAATTAAAGCTAATTGTGTCAGGTAATTAGCTTAAAAGTAAATGGCGCTGAAAAAAATAATCAAAAAAGAGATTGGGACTTATGATAACATCTATGTCAGTCTAATTGACAAAGAAAGGGTGCCAAGGTTGTCATTCTACAAGACAGTAGCCAGATGCATTTAATGTCTGCCCAAGATACTTTTTGTTTTTAAAAAACTTTTAAATTTAAATTTATTCTGTTATATTTAAATAAAATATATTATTAAATAATGATAAATTTTAATTTGTTTTATTAAATTTGATAAAAATTTTTATAAAAATTCAAAACGCTTTTTTTACTATTTTTTTTTCTGATAAATGTTCCATACTATGTTAAAGAAAATTCTTTTTACCAAATTTAATTTGAGTTTCTTTGTTAACTCTTTACAAAAGTGCTAATATGAAAAAGTGTTTAAGGCACTTATAACTGTATTTAAATGCATAAGCTTTGAAATTGCTTTTTAACAAAAGTTTTTATTTTATGATTAATTTTTTAGATTGATAGAATGAAAGTCAATTGGAAATGTTTAACTTGTTTATGAGTAGTATGCAAAGAGTTTGTTTAAGCCAAAATGTTTTATAAAATGACTACTCCTAAAGCAACCAAATTTGTGAACTTTCTAAATTACTCAAATGCATCCACATATCAATTTGAAATTAACAAATATACTGCAGTTTCATTTTCAGGTAATTTTCTATCACAAACATCACAAAAATGTGAATATCTTACACAACTGGTAAGAGAAGCAATAGAATCTTTAACACATGAATTTGGATCCAAAAAGATTGACTTGAAAATAATAACTAAACCATCATTTCACAAAATATATTATTAAATAATGATAAATTTTAATTTGTTTTATTAAATTTGATAAAAATTTTTATAAAAATTCAAAACGATTCAAAACAATGTTTGAAAAAAATTGAAATTTGAATCCTATAATCGCTAGAAAAGTACAGATAAAGTGAAGATTGAAAACGCTAAAACTAATTGGAATAAAGCTTAATAAGTTGCAAAAAAATGAAACAAAAAATAGTTAATACAGTTGAAAGTTTTAAAAAGCTGATAAAAAAAAATTAAAATAAAAAAGTATTGGAAACTAGATATTCAGAAACTTTCAGTGATGCTCATTTCCTTGCAAACGCACTAGATTCTAGATATTTTTCTGAAATTAAAAATGGAACTCAAATTAATTTAACTCAAATAAAGGGCTCAAATTAATAGTATCGCAATAACTACTAGTGATTGCTGTTGGTTTCTTTGCAATTAATTTTTTTAAAAAAAATATTTTTGTGATATTTTGTTTTTTTGTTCTTTTATAACTTATATTTTTTTGCCTTAACATTTTTAAGAAGAGACAAATAAAATACTAAATTAAAAATGAACTTTTAATATAAGTATAGATATTTGAGGCTTTTATAAGGAGTCGTCCATAAAGTACATCACGCTAATATAACTTTTAAATAGAAGTGTAATCGCTTGCTCTTTTAAGCAGAGGTTTTCAATCTACACAATGCTTTTGAATTTTAATTATTTTTAAAATTTAATTAATCTCTCTGTGAAAGTAAATAATATCCTACTTTTATTTAAAAGTTAAATTTATTGTGATTTACTTAATAGATGAAATACATCAAAGTAAATGAAATCATGAAAATCTCAGGACTGCAACATTATAATTGATATTGAAGGTTCATAAAACGCATAAGCTTCTAGTGCTAGAATTGAAAGAATTTTTCAGGTATATTCATTCTAAGCTAAGAAACAACATGGTAGTTGAAAAAAAAAAAGCGGCAAAGCTTGTTTTTATATACAGAACATTATTAAATAATGATGTATTAAACATATTAAATAATGATATATTGATTGATGAATTTTAGCATTAATATTGATAGAAAATATAACATTCATAACACTCATGTAAAATGCCTGATAACTTTTTTTTAAAAAAAACTTTTAACGAATTATTCTAAAAGTCAACTTTTATCACTAATATTCACATTAAAAGTGTTTAGATTATCTTAGCTATGTAATTTATTTAAAGGTGTGGAGTACTTAGAGATTTTTCAGCACATTCACCAACTTTAAAAATTTTTTTTTTTTTAAAAAAAATAACTAAAATAAAAATATTCTTCTTCTATTTAGAAACAAATTTGCAAAGCAAAATTTCAGTTATTTGTACAATGTAGTTAAAAGTCATTTTCTGAGAAAACTAAGCAAAATTACTGCTGGCTCATATATAAGATATCTTTCAAAAATGCTCAACTTTTTATATAGTAATGGTCATAGAGTAAGAAAGAAGGCTGTAAATTGTTTTTTTCTAAATATTTGTTGTTTCAAATTTATGGTCGCTTAATTTCTTTACCTTAAAAATTAGAATTTTCAAACTTTTAAACTAAATTTAAAGACAATAAATAAAGTATAAAAAATAAATAAATAAATAAAGTAAACCCTTAGTCTAAAAATCAAAAGCTGAAGATTCACATTTTTAAAATTTTGACTTTAAAAACACTCATCTAAAACCATGAAAATTTCCTGCAAGATATTTAATTTTTTCAGAAAAGATATTTCATTGTAATTAAAAAAAAAAATTAAAAAAAAGGGTATGTCTAAAAACTTTGATACATCAAAAAAAGTTTTATGTAGCGTTTAAAAACGAGAAATGAAAAAGGTGTTAAGATTGAATGAAGAGATCTAATACTTGATCATACACCGAAAGGTCTCAAGATTTTATTACTTGATTGCATAACAAGTCACAAAAATTTGACTCAAATCTCACAGGAATCCTACACGATTTGAGTCACATTTTGGTAATGAGTTATGCAACATTTTGGAGAAAGCTGCTGTTAAATATGAAATCAAGAATACATTTTGCTTTTCCTGGCAAAATTCTATTCTATTTTGTTTAATCTCTTTTTAAACAGGAATAGTTTTCATATTCTTTGTTTGTACCCAATCTATCTTGCATTTAAAGCATCTAAAAAGTTTTAACAATCATGTTCAACCGAACACAGGACAATATGTTAGCCAATAAAGTTACTTTCTTTATAAATTTCAACAAATTTATTAAGGTACTGTATCTTTGTCATTTTAGTATAATTTTGTCGTAAATTTATTTCAGTAATGTGGTATTACTCGCAAAGTTTTTTTTTTTTTTTGCATTGAAAGAATGGTATTATGTAGTTAAAACATTTTTTGACAATTTGATGACTCATAAGTATTTTTGTAAGCACATTCACGAGCAGTTACTTAACCACTCTTTGAAACCATTAAAATTACAATAAAAAAATTTTAAGTTTTGAGATAAATGTATTTAAAGTAGGTCCCAAATTTAAAGTAGGTCCCAAAACTGTGTGATTTTAGTATATGATTTTATGACTAAGAAAGGGTTTACCTAAATTATTTTATTGTAAAATAAAATAATTTAGGTAACTTCTCTAATATAAAAAGAAACTTAGGATGCAGTTAATTTAATGCCTTTAAATTTTGTTTAAAAATCACAAAATTTCAATAATGCTATTTCAAGTATCAAGAGTTCAACCAACCAGCAGGAACTAAAAATAACTAAAAAAAAAAATTACAGGCTTCTTCCTTACCCAATCAGCTACTATATAAAAACTGGGTGTGATTGAAGGATATAACCTTTGAGTGTTGCCTGGTTTTCTCAGAAAAAGGCTCTTAAAAAGAAAAAACCTTTAATTATTTAAATTATTTAAAAAAAATTACTTGTTATTTTATCTATTTTTCTAATTAAATCCATTCTCCTCATGTTCTTTAAAGCTGTTTTTAACGCCTCAAGTGTTGGATTATCATTTATTTGCATCCATTTAGTTAACATTGAAAACGCTTTTTCATCAGTTTTAGAATTATCATGATCAATAATGTCAATATAGCTTTCTTCAATATTTAACCAACGCCCAAGAATTCTCCAATCTACTCCAACACTTTCACTAAATTTTAACCTAAACTCTTGACTATGAAGAATTTTATCATCTTTCTTTGGATAAGAACTATATGGTTCCATTTTGATGTTTCTAAAAAAAGATATACATGTTTCAATATATATATATATATATATATATATATATATATATATATATATATATATATATATATATATATATATATATATATATATATATATATATAAAAGTTATTAAAAAAAAGCATGTAGTTATTCCATAGTATGATTTTAAAGTTGTAAGGGTTGTATAATTACAATAGTGTTTTGACATTTATTTTCACTCCTGTTGTGTAGCATTAAAAATGTTATATAAAAACAGAATTTAGAGCTTTGATAATGTTATAGTGCATTTTTTTAGCGTAATATTTTTGACTTTTAATAGTCATATATGTTTTTATTCTTAAATTAATGATTACAACATTTTATAAGTTTTTTTTTTTTAATATTTGATTTTCGTTATAACTGCCATGGTTATCACCGTAATGATTAGAGATGTAAGTCTTATTTTTTTCTCTTTTTTTTTGAAAAAAAAAAAACAATGCTTTTTTTGGCTGAAGAAACCAACTGGTTTGTTTTTTGTTTTGTTTTTATTTACTCTTTTTCTTATTTTAAACACTGAAATAATTTTAATAATTTCTTTTTAGGTGATATTTATTTGAGGAGAGTTTTCATTATTTTAATAAAGATGTCATTTTATTAGTACTGCCTTTAAAGATCTTGAAATAGCAGATCCCAAAATAAATCAAAAAAGTTTCCTAAATTTTTTATAGTCAATTTTTTATGAAGAACCTAACAGAGATTAGTAATATGAAAACTGTTCTTGTAATTTAGTTTTTTAAACAACTTTAGTGCACCAAAATCTTTTTTAGACCTACTAAGCTACTTATGAGCTAGCTTGGAAAATAAATAAAGTTTTTGCAAGAAATTTGAGACTTAAAAGTACTTTGATATTTTACCACTGCTCAAAAAACCTAAGGTTTTTTTGTTTTTGTTTTCATGTTTGGCTTGTTTTTTTAAATTTGTTAATTTGTCTTGTTTTACAAGTTCTTAAAATGTTCATCAATGACTTACCTATAATAAGTTAAAGTAAAACTGAAAAATTTATTTAAAGAAACATTATTCTTATAAAATACAGAGACATCATAAGTAAAAGAGATTTGAATTTTTTGTTTGTTTTTTTATGTAAATTTTTTTTTGTGTGTTTATTCTCCTAAAACAAAAAAAACAAATGTTTTTTTTGTTTTAGGAGAATTAACAGTATGAATGAAAACAAGTTTTAGCAATTTGTAGAATGAATGAAAACTTAAGTTTTTTAATTTAATGAAATTACACTGCATTGCAAAAATTTATAATCTTTTTGTTTTTTAATTTTATTTCTGCAATTGCAAATAAATTAAATTTCCAACAAATAATTTCAGAAAGAAGAAATGGTATTATCAATTATGTTATAAATAGTATTGCATAAGTTTGTTGTAGTATTTTTATTTTCTAATGTTATATCTTTAGGGTAACTGTTTTAAAACATAAGAATTTTTATGATGATAAATTGTTATTTTTAAAGCCCTAATGAACCAGTTTATTATAAATTATAATAAAGTAAATTTGAGTAATACAATTATTATTATTAGCTTTTTTTAATAATTGAATTATGAAATAATTTAATATATAGCCAAGAAAATATTGTAAGCATAAAATAAGCAGATTTCTAATCAAAATAATCACGTTGTTTGATTTGAACATAATAATCATTAAAAATCATCAAACTGATGTAAGGAATTATATTCATCTACTGAATTATCAAAAATAGAAAGAAAAATTCTTCAGCTTCGTGCTACAAGTGCTACTCGTGAAAGAAGTTTAAGCAATTATGCAAATATTAACTGTGCCAAAAAAAACCAATTAACAATTATGCAAATTATGCAAAAAAAAAACTGTGCAAAAAAAAAACTAATTAACAAATTAAAGGGCAACAAAACTAGTACTTTATTTGCAAAATTTAAAACTTGAAGCAAAAGAAACAGATTAACGAAAACTTGAAGCAATGGATATGTGCACAACACAACAACCAATCTTGCTTAAAAAACCAATAAATATATATCAGACTAATTTTACCAATCAATAAATATTTCAGATGAAGAGTCATTTGAATGAGAATTTGAATCACTTGACCAAAAGAGTTTTCTAGTCAAGATTTTTCTGTAGATGAGTTTTAAATAAAAAAACTTAAAAAAAAATTGTTTCTTATCAATTTTTGAATTCAAATTTCGAAAAGAACAATAAACTTGTTAACCATTTTACCACTATAAAAATCAGTCATTCAACTCTTTTGGGAACTCTGTTCACACTTTAATAAAAATAGATTTGGAGAAAAATGAAAAATGAGGGCGCTGATTACAACAAAAAAAAAGATAGCGCGCTTTTATGTTTTTGTAAGGTTGAATTTTTGAATTTATTTGAGTATTTTTATATTTTAAATAAATAAATAGTGAAAAGTGAAGCTGCTTTATTAGCATTAAAAGACACAGTTCAATTATTAACACAAAGAATTAAATTATTGGAGGTTGAAAATTTAACATTAAAAAATTGTATAACTGTACTCAAAAGCAGTGGTACTCAGAAAGATTCTCCATTAAACTGGGAAGCTATTGTTAAAAACGATAAAATGTTATCAAGCAAAGAATTAGAAGTAGTTAATTTTTATATAAAAGTAAAATAACATACAAACACTGTACAAATATTTCATTTGCATTGCCACCCTCATCCTCCCACATATGTAATATAATTTTTATATTAATATTAGACAAAATTTATGTTGTAAGTTATATTTTTCAAGTTTATTTAAAAAATTTTTACAAATATAAAAGTAAAATAACATACAAATATCGTACAAATATTTCATTTGCATTGCCACCCTCATCCTCCCACATATGTAATATATTTTTATATTAATATTAGACAAAAGTTATGTTGTAAGTTTTATTTTTCAAGTTTATTTAAGAAAAAGATACAAACCCACAAATGCAAATTAGCCGATTTTAACCAAACAAACATTTTTTGAAGCAAAGAAAAAAATTTTAATAATAAAACAAACTTGCAAGCAGTTTAGATGCAAATTTCTATATAAAAGGTTTCTTTTATGAGTTCCTAAGACAACAAAGAAAGTTGAGGAAGAGTTCATGTTAAGTGAAAAAAAAGATTACAAAAAAAAACAAGTGAAGTTGATTTATCAGCATTAAAAGACACAGTTCAGTTATTAACACAAAGAATTAAATTAATGGAGGTTAAAAAATCAACATTAAAAAATTGTATAACTGTGCTCAAAAGCAGTGGCACTCAGAAAGATGCTCCATTAAACTGGACAGGTATTGTTAAAAACAGTAAAAAGAAATCAAGCAAAGAATTAGAAGTAGTTAATGCCATATCATAAAAAATAAAGAAAAGAGATAAAATGTAGTTATCTTTTGCCTTCCTAAATCTTAAGAGAATATATTGAACAATGCAAAATCATGATATGAAGCAAGTTGAGGACGTTATGAATGAACTCAATGTTAACAGCAGTGTTATTGAAAAAATCTACAGATTCAGATCAAAACAAGGAGTTGAAAACGCAAGTAAACCTAGTCCTATCTTAGTCCAGTTTAAAAATAAAGATACAAAATACAAGTTTTAGGTGCAGCAAGAGCGATACTTTTAAAAATGAAAGAAAATTAACAAAGCTGAAAGAAAATTAACAAAGGATTTTATTATTCTAAGACACTTTGAATAAGCCTTTTTGTTATGGTATCAGAGTGTACAGAGTTGTTAGAATATACAATCCAAAAAAACTTAAAAAAATAAAAATATTAAATAAAAAACTAAAAAAAATAAATAAATGATGAAGAAAAAGCTAAAAAAATAAAAAATGTTGAAGAAAAAACTAAAAAAATAAAAAATGTTAAAGAAAAAACTTAAAAAATAAAAAATGTTGAAGAAAAAAATAAAAAAAATAATAAATGTCAAAAAAAAAAAAAAAACATGATGTAAAACCACATCTGTTATGTTGGTACACCAATGCAACATCGTTAAACAACAAATATGAAGACTTCATTATAGAAATTATAAACAAAAAACAAGTTATGATGGTATGTGAGACATGGTGGACAGATGCCTAACTAACTAACATATATATAAAGCAATATGGTGTGTAATAAAATGTGGTATTGAAAGCATATTATGTTGCTGTAATTACCATACGACAGAGAGTAGTTTGTTTTATTGTGAAAATATGGTCAAATCATTCAAGTATGCATCAAATTTAGTAAACACCAAGAAATACAGTGGTTTTCTGAAATGTGGTGATCTTAATTTTCAAATGATAAAATGGAATGAGAATAATATAGGTACAACAGTAAAAAAAAAATGAATCTGCTCAGTTATTTATGGATTATTTAAACAAAAATTACGTATTCCAAAATCCAATTTTACAAAACTTTCAAAAAATGTCAGTGAAACAACAAATATTCTAGAGTTAGTATTAACTGAATCTTGTAACAGAATAATATATGTTAAAAAACACTTCACCCCTATAATAATTTAGAACATAGCCATCATGTATCGAATTTTAAATATAGTGTAATAGATAAAGTCAATAATAAAGACTATCAATCAAAATATCTGTTCAACCAAGGTAAATATAAAGAGTTAAATAAATACTTTAATAATTATGATAGAGTTTGAAACCCTAAGTAGCGATGAAAGCTATTAACTAAAATTTTATGAAAAAAGGTTGCAAAATGTTTATCCCTTAAATTCAACAAAACAACAAAAACATTAAAAAGATAAAATCATTATGGTTGACTAAAGACCTAAAATCAAAGTTAAAAGTTAAAAGGAACTTACAAAATCAAAGCTGCAGATTTTAAAAATATAGATGGTGTAAAAAATTACAACAATGTTAAAAAGATATTAAAAAAAGACTTTAAAAAAGCATTTATGGAGTATGAACGTAATTTAGTAAAACAATCAAAATCAAATACTAAATATATATACTCTTATATAAACAGTAAAAGTAAAATAAACAACACTATCAGA